CTGCCCTCCGGCACCAGCATCCTTCAAATACACTGCATGTGGGTTAAGTAAACTCCCTCCAAGGTCACAGCCTTTCCCTCTGCATCAAAACCCGGCCATAGGAACGCTGTCCCACCACTCGCTGTCGGCTGTATCCAGCCTGTAGTGAAGAGTGCTTGGGCACATGGGGACACCCCCAGGAGCTCTGGGCCAGGCAAAGCAGCCTGCAGGGATAAGGATGCTGGAACAGGAGGGTGTCTTGCCTGTACAGGAGTGCACGTAGGGAGTGGGACATCTGAAAGGAAGGGGAAAGGTGTTGCGAAACACTCGCCTGAGCCACCTCAACTTCTCCAGCGGGAAGGGTGTTCAGCCTTCAGGAGACAAAAATACAGGGACCACCTGCCAGGGCTGAGCACATCTGCCCTGCCATCCAAAGTCTCCTGTTCAGAGCCTTCTCCTGCAAGAAGCTGGTCCCCAGGCTTACACAGAAAGAGACATCCACTATGCATGCAAGCATCTTGCTAAAAGAAGTGGGTTTGTGGCCCTGGAATGAATCCCCTCCATCAGCAGGATAACGCCCCCACACGCAACTTCCACGCAATTTCCCAGCCATCTGTGCTTGAAGCAGCACGGAATCAGGGCAGCCCTGTTGGGAGGCAGAGCTGGGGACTCTGATGGGACTGGGACATCCAGGTGTCCTCTCCTTACAGCTGAAGTTGAGGGAAGGAGGCTCTGTCCATTCCTGAGGAAGATGATGGTGCTGGAGAAGGAAAGCACAAGGAGGGGCTCAGTGTTTTGGAGGTGAGGCCAGGTGGGAATCCAAGGAGAGCCAAGAACAGCAGCAGGTGGATTTTGCAGCATGCTTTGAAGAGTAAAACCTGCTATGGATATGGCAACCAAACCACCGGGTCCCACAGGGTGTCTCCAGGGCGTGTATCATAGTGCTATATGTACAGACACACGCTCTTTAAAGAAGATGTGACCAACAGCAGAGGAAGAACTGGACAAAACCACAGTAGCTCTCACAAAACCCACCTCCTCATACAGCTCAGCTGTCAGAGAAACCCATCCTGCAGAGACACCCGCACGGAGCCCCTGTCCTCTGGCACAGACAGCTTTTCCTCTTCTGGATAGAAATCCCAGGCAGGACACAAAGATTTCACAGAATCACAGAATCGTAGGGGCTGGAAGGGACCTCTGGAGATCTTTTGAGTGATGAGCCAGCTGTGTTCCCAGGTAAACCATCCTTCAGCTAACGCCTCTGCTTCCACTTTACAGCACGTTTCTAAGCTAGATTTCTCTCTCATTATGTCTTTGCCCGCTACAGTAAAGAGCCATGAGCTATTAGAAATCATCTCTTCATTAATCTACTCATGAATATTAGTTTAACTCTGGCTCCCATGATACACGGACCTACAACAAGGCCTTGTTGAGTGCATCTGAAGACAGGCGCCGTCCCAAGCTCCATGGTTGACGGGTATACTTTTACTCACTAGCAATACAAAATGAAGATTAATTAATTAATGCATCACCAACATGCGAATTTGGCTTCCCAGTGCGGAGAAGTTAGGGCAAAGCTCACATCTATTTTGGGCTGTTTATAAACTGCTTCCTAGTTACCCAAGTTTGCCCTTTTCATCACTAAGAAGATGTGTTATTATGGAGTTACAATATTTCTAAATATACCCACGCCTCCCAATATTTAGGAGGGAATGGGGGTGCCTAGAGCCAGTCCAAGGACAGAGCAATGACTGCAAGAAGAGCTGTGAGATAGGCAGAAACTGAAACATTCCCTTTAAAATACTTTATTTTGCACTTGGGAGAAGTTCCCGCACATCCCAGCGAACAGACAACGTCCCACCAGCCACTGCGCAGAGGGGGCAAAAGAGGGAGGGAAGAACAGGAGGGGAGAGGAAAAATAATGGGGTGACAGGAGTGCAGCAGCTCGGGTCAGCGTGCTGCCGGCCCCGCGGGGATGCTGCCCCGGCCCCCGTCCTGGCAGGCTGCGGGGAGCCGGAGTGGCCGTCGCACTGCAG